GGTATTAGCCATTTAGTAAACTAATCTGAAGAATTCCGAAGCAATTTCAAGAGTCGAGATTGCCTATAACACACGAAGCCCGACGACTTACGCTTTGAACCATGCATCGAAACTTCACAACACTTCCCAAGGCCTCCTCGGAATCGTTCTCAGACATGTTCGTTAGATCGGGAACCTCTTCCCAATTCAGCGAGCCGATATAAAGATTCACTCTGAAGTAGAATATTCGTGTTAACACATTTACGAAAATTTCTGAAAATTCTCAAAATTAATGTTTGTGAATAAAAATCACTTCCAAATTCGATTCTGTATTCCACTGCCGATTCAGAAATAACACGCAAAGATTTTCAATAGCACTATTCGAAAAATTCGGAAAATCTGGGGAAAATTCACTTGAAAATTATTTCCCTCCTGTACAATCACCTGTCAATAACTCCTTTCCTGCCCTCCTCGCCACACACAGCATCATCCAGAGCTCCGTATGGCTGCTGTTGGAAATCCATCATAGAACAACTGATATCGTAGTTGCAGCCACGCACGTAACCGTAAATCACTCGTGAATGGAATATACCACAAATTCTTGAAATACTTCATAACGCAATACAAGGAGAATCTGTAAACGTTATAGTAGAAGAGTAATACAGTGATAACTATTTACTGTGGATTTCCTCAATGAGTTTACTCTCATCCTTCTTACCAACAACAGGAACATTCTTCTTCTTCATTTCCTCTTCCACCGCCGTGGCGTCACCTTGTACATCGAAAACACCAGCAGTAACATCAATTTCAACAGCTTCCTCGGCCGGCTGAGACAAGTCGTTTCTCAGCAACACTTCGTCACGAACAACCTCAGGGTCGCAGTTGCTATCAGTTGGCGTAGTAGCCGGCGCCGAAAGGAAGTTCTTCACTCGTGATAGGAGGTCTTCGACTTTCGGGACAGGACCGAAGTCGGGTTTTCCAGAGCCTTCCGCGCGAGGTGTAGAAACGGACGAGTCAGAATCGGAGTTGGCAGTATCGGAATTAACGACAAGGCTTGAGGAAGGCGTTTTCTCGGTGATGTTCTTGAGGGAATCGTCGGTTGTATTTTGGATGGTCATTTGAATGAGAAATACAACAGAAAATCAAATAAATTTCCACGAGGGAAAATTTCTACCAAATTGAAATCGCTTGAAATAGTTAACGCCACGACAGAGGGAACTGCCTCGCCGCATCTCCACGAGGATAACAGAGAATTTTCGAGAAGAATCTTCATCAATTTTCATGCAAGTCGCCGAGACGTGAGATTCAATTCCTGCAAGTTGCAAGAAAAACGCAACTAAAACTGGTAGACACCGCACTCGTGATGGGGAGACCTACGGCCACCTGCATCGAAGGCTTCCCGTACTAGCACATCCGACGCCCAACCGTTACGCTCGCCCTTGGGCAATTCGGTGTTCTCTCGTAAACCATAATAATAACATCATTGATATTCGTTTCTTTATTACTACTAATACGAGGAAGCCTATCGCGAATGGGCAAAACTGTTCTCAGTGTTGTATTTGGTGAATTGCCTTACCCTTGATAACGATAATGTTCCGACCGTTCAACGCGGGTAGTTGCCCCTATCACGAGTAGGAGTGAGTTCATCTATTGTCAGGAACCTGTTGCGGGTTGAGTCTGCGGACGGGCATGCTTATTGTCATGCTGTTAGTCTTCGGACTGGCAATCTCGGACTTCACTTGGAGATGGCACATACACTTCCACGAGAATATAACGTTGGTAGGTTTATAGTGGAAATTTGGTGTAGTCGGTATCCCGGTGCTTGTCCAACCGGATGGTTCTGAGTTCTATCCTCGCTGGTGACATTTTAGTATAAAAAATTCACCAGGTTATATACGGGCATTATTTATTCACTTGTGATACTCCGGAAGCTCCTTGAAGCTTCTTATACAACATCCATCACCTGTCACCCCAATTCTATCTCAGCAACCCCTACTGAAGCCCCTCATGTTCGACCACGCCCCCCGCATTTTATACACACTCGTCGTCTGTGATCTCATCTTGGCCGGTGCGCTCATCGTAACCGCACCAGGGAAAGCCAAAGCCCAACTCGGCATGGTGAGTACTCTTTCGAGAATTTTTTTCTTTCCACAATTGTGTTGATTTCAGGCATGCTTTATCTCTCTCGTTTTAACCTGCATATGGTGGATCTACGTCGGCGTTCACATGTCCACTCGACTACGCGATTTTCGAAGGCAATACGGTTTCTCCGGCGCGCTCACCAAAGCACAAGACAGCAACACAAGAGTCGGCAAAATGCTGCGAGGAAAATCTCGCGGCACACTCCTCCACAGCGCCGCGTTTTTCGCCGATCAAACAGTAGCAGGGATGATGTCAACGACACTTCCCGAGCCTTTGGGTGAACTCGTATGGCTCAGTTGGAATCCCGGAATAGTGATTATCATCTTCGGGTTAATCCCCGCCACAGCAATTGGCAGCACTTTGATCTTCGTGGGAAGTTACGTAAATGTGGTATCAAAAGGTGGCGATGGAACAGAGTGTTTGGATGGTAAACAAATTGAGGATTTCTATGATGCACTCCCGGAGGAAGAGTAAGCATATCTTTTCTTTCTCGGACCTCATTCGTATCTTTGCATCAGGAACCTCGAGAGGAGCAACAACTCTCTCATAGCAGTAAGTTGATGATAACAAGAGCTCGGATGTATATGTAAGATATGTGTTTATATAATATTTCCCTTCAACGACTTTAACCGCATATTCTTTCAGGCTCCAACTGCTGAACTTAATAACGATGTTTAGGCATGCTTCATAGCTGACTCGATGTAATTATATTCGTCATTTTGTATTGTGTTAGTGGTGAGATTAGCATACGTTCATACGCCAAAATCGAGTTAACTCGCGAACTAACTTCCCAACGGGTATTGTCATGTGTTATATCACTCTAATTATAACTACTAAACACATACGCAATGTTATAACACTCTGGTGGTGATGATCACCATCAGAGGTAGAAGTATGTAAAACTGGTCATAATCTAATGCACAGGTAATTTGACTTCGTTCATATACACAGCAATGTTTTGTCAATCATAGCAATGTTCACGAAGACACTGCTGTTTTGCCACGCATCATTTCATACTCTTCGAACGTAAGAGAAAACCTGAGAAAAAGGGAAAAATGATGTTCTCTTATCAAAACCCATTTTTGATAAATTCTAAAACGTTTTCTCTTTATTCGCACATTCCCGTATGTGAAAATATGCACATGTTCAACTACATGTGTTGGTGATTATATGCAAATTCTGGGAGGAAATTTCACGAAATTCTCAACGACCTCTCTAAGTAGTCAGAAAATCCCTATTCCATCACTGAATATGTTTTCTACTATTATAAAAAGATCCCCTCCCTGTCGTCTTCACTCACTTCGAAGATTGATAGCGTTGCACTGTTGTTTGCAAAGATTCCGGATGATGTCCATCTCGAGAAGATCCTCCACCTAGTCAAACGACATGAGAAAAACAAGTCTAATTTTGAATCGTAATCCCACCAACCATAGCATACAAAAACACTATTGTTTAAACAATATGTAAAACATTATTGAGAAATAAATTCCACATACGTGATCTTCTTACCCTTCACAATAGCTCTCATAATCGCCTGTTTTTGATCCCAGTGTTGTTCCGGCATAACATTGGGTAAAAACGTCGCACTTCGACTGAGCGAAAAATTCACATTCGCCAACTTGAACATTACTCACGTTCGAGCCTCTCCCGGGAGTACGAATTTCACGACGATACCGTGGGTACCATCACACTTCCAGTTATAGATCTCTTCACCAAGGTCTTCGAAGGTATGGAGAACCTAAAGACCGAATTTTTACGGAAAAAAATTTTTTGGGGTAAAATTTTCTCGGCGAATATGATTTTCATGCATAATAAATATACTTCATCATCTTAATTTGCCTCCCGATGAACTTTATATGCTATAAAATGTGAAACTCAACTTTCTCTGGAAATTACGCATGAAAAACGCACGATAACAAACTCATATATTCCTCCGAAATTTCACATCAGAACACATCGGAAATGGCAAAATTATGCCACATAAAAGCTGCCATTTTAAGTTCATCAACGTGGTTTCCCGTACTTATAATTTTGGAAGTGTACAGAAATCAACGATAATTTCCTCACAATTCTCATATTGTCATCATCACCAACACATGTAGTTGATGACCATGTGCATATCCCTTTCCACCACATTTTCATATTGTCATCATCATCACCAACACATGTAGTTGATGACCATGTGCATATCCCTTTCCCCCCACATTTTCATATTGTCATCATCATCACCAACACATGTAGTTGATGACCATGTGCATATCCCTTTCCCCCCACATTTTCATATTGCCATCATCATCACCAACACATGTAGTTGATGACCATGTGCATATCCCTTTCCCCCCACATTTTCATATTGTCATCATCATCACCAACACATGTAGTTGATGACCATGTGCATATCCCTTTCCCCACACATTTTCATGTTGTCATCATCATCACCAACACATGTAGTTGATGACCATGTGCATATCCCTTTCCCCCCACATTTTCATATTGTCATCATCATCACCAACACATGTAGTTGATGATCATGTGCATATCCCTTTCCCCCCACATTTTCATATTGTCATCATCATCACCAACACATGTAGTTGATGACCATGTGCATATCCCTTTCCCCCCACATTTTCATATTGTCATCATCATCACCAACACATGTAGTTGATGACCATGTGCATATCCCTTTCCCCCCACATTTTCATATTGTCATCATCATCACCAACACATGTAGTTGATGACCATGTGCATATCCCTTTCCCCCCACATTTTCATATTGTCATCATCACCAACACATGTAGTTGATGACCATGTGCATATTTCCTCAAAACTCATGTGCGTGAATATATACATAATTTCAAACAAGCACCTTGCACCTACACTCACAGTACACATGAGGTCCTTCATCTCAGATTGGGCTATGGGCCTAAAACGCCTATCTTCTTGAGATGACACTATTGCGTATCTGATCAAAATTTCACTCTTTCCTTCGCGTTGAATAGGAGTCGGGAAAATGTACTCAGTAGGAATAGAACGCGAGACCACACGATTGGAAGACAACCCCCCTAACACCTGCACCAGATTTACATTATAATTCTACCAACGCTACACTCCCAAGATTAACAGTAGAACATCGGAGTTTCATCATAGTGCTATGTAAAACATATATCGCACGACTACTGCATATCACCGCGAATGTCGCGTTTTTCACAGAGTTTTACGACGCCACTTCACATAAAACGGGTAGTCGTGAAACTCCACTAAACATACATGTTCCCTTCCAAAATTCTAAATCGAAAATCCACTCCAGAAGAGCTCGCCTGATTACTAAACAATATATGAATTTCGTAAGGAGAAATAATACACAAAAATACTCAGATTCTACTTGCCACAGTTCATCAAGTGCTTCACAAAGACTATGGAGTTCTTCTGAAGGGGGTGACTTTCCGGGAATAAATGCCCGGCAAATTTTTTACTATCATTCGATAGAGCATACCGTGAGGAGTGATAACATACAGACATCTACGTTCTAACCACAAGGATTAGTGATTTATTCCAGAGCTTAACTATCAGCTGATGTTAAACAACTAGTTTAAGTCGACCTCTTTTTCGATCGTTTTATATGCAGTATGGAAAAAAAACTGTTATTTTTTTAGTAATTATGAAATTTTTGAGAATTTCTAACAAAACAACGTTATAAAATTATAAGATACATTGCAAATGTGAAGGATGTGTGGTATTTCCCAACATTAATAAAAAATCGATCTGAAACTATATCGCATAAATATGAACATGTGATGTGATAAAAGTAACCTTTCGAGACTGTGAAAAATAACTGCATATCAAATTGACACATACCGTAACACTACGAAATCCGCCTCCAATACTGCATACTACCTCTTCAGCTGCCCTAGTTTAATCGGCAAAAGGAATCCTATACATCCTCGTAGAGTTTGATACTCGCTCTTCGCACTCAGCGAAGACGACCTGATAAATAATACTAAAACTCCAAATTGACTTTCAATGAATTTTCACCCATTTTACGTGGAGTGAAGTAATACTCTGTGAAAAATATTTTTCCCCTAGTGAAAAATTTAGGGAAAAATTCTGGAAAACTTTTTTATATCACCGCTCGTGAAACTCCAATAAACCTACTTAGATGAGCTCCGCTTATCCCAGGTGACGAAAATTCCATCAGTTGTAACGTCAGGGTGAAGACTCTCAGGCCTACCGATGATATTGGAAAAAAACCACTGAGTGTTGTTTTAATTCTTATCACATATCCGGTAAATCAACTTCGACGTTTTTCCTCCATCGGTGTTGTGATTTATAGTAGGCCCGCAGTACGTCGAAACAGTAAGCGCAAAGATCAGCATTCGCTCGAATGGGTTCTAGTGAATCTAAGAAAGAAAATTCACATTAATGCTATTTCGAAAAAGAAGTTGAATTTTATGGGAAAAGATCATTTATTTATGAGAAATTTTATGGGAAAAAATCCTTCATGAGAAATTTTATGGGAAAAAATATTTATTTATGAGAAAATTTATGGGAAAAAATAATTTATTTATGAGAAATTTTATGAGAAAAAATCCTTTATTCATGTGAAATTTTATGGGAAGTATCTTGAATGATGTTACACTATTTGAGGCGATTTGGGTGAATATGCAAATTGTCAACTACATGGTATCAGAATTTTGATAAAATTCTGATAAGTTCGTGTTGGTTCCTCTATACGTATTCGCATGTAATTAGTGAGGAAACTTCTGAGCTCAGGTGAGGAAAGAGAACATATATTCCCCCAACACTGATTTGAAGATTCGTATTATTCAAAAACAGATGATATTTGTTTAAAAAATTCAGGAAACTTAGATTCTCTTCGAAGGAATATTCCTATTATCAACAATCCATAGATTGTCTTTGAGAATACAACGCAAGGTAGTTGTTGGACCTCATCTGAATCTTCCACGAAGCAACCTTGGATACCACCCTTGCTCACCTTTAGAGGAATGCACTCCGTTGATGTCGAGTTTTTGTGTAGTACTGCTGATAGTGTTCATAGTGGAAAACAAAACTACTCGGAAAATGATTTACTTTTTGTGAATCATTAACGACGAGAATTCGACAGTGTTACGGTATAGTTCGATGAATTAAAAGTTATAACGCAAACAATAAACTACACGTGTTGGTGACTATATGAAAATTCTGTAAGACACTTTAGGAAATTCTTATTGCTTTCCGTACACTGCTGGTCACTAAACACAATGTGATATGTGGTGCGTTTGCGTGCTACTTTCGTACGCATATACATCCTCTACATGTGTTGAGCATGTGTAAAGTAAGTAATGAAATTCCTGAGCTCAGCTATGGAAAGCTAACATGTATTCCTCCAACACTGATCTTTTCTGAGTGGAAATTATTCTCTGGAATCGATTGTAAACAATTGTGTATGGAGGGAGTACTTGTAAAATATGGCAACTCTTTCCCTTGGCATCTGTGCGTCTGCGTGCTACTTTCATACGCAACCCAAGTTCTACTATAGATCCTCCTCTATACATCTGTTGCAGACCTCCCGCTTCAATACCCATACCACTAGAGTTAACGCTGGACGTAACGGCCATTGATGCAAATAATAGCAAACGTAGAAGACTCTTGTATCTTCGTAGCTTCATTTGTACAGGGAGGGACACTACAACTGAAACGGTAAGATATTCTCACCGTCAGCGCACGCTCAAAGATGCAAAAGGAAAATGGTACCATAAATCCAG